CTATTAATGCTAGATAATACCCTTTGTCAATATATCTTTTGCAAATATTTACCCCAGTCTGTGGCTTGTCTTCTCATTCTGTTAAAACTATCATCATTTCTAAAACAGACAAACACAGGAATAAAAATACTAAGGTGGACTCTTGTCATCTCATTGTTTATTGTGTACGTCCACAGTTCTTTGTGTCAATTATTTTAAAAGTGTATTTGTGTGTGTGTGTGTATATACAGGTGTGTGTGTGTGTGTGTGTGTGTGTGTGTGTGTGCGTGTGTGCATGCACGTATATACAGGTGTGTGTGTGTGTGTGTGTGCGTGTGTGCATGCATGCGTGCGTGCCTGTGTGTGTGTTTACAACAAAGGACAATCTTGGGTGTTGTCCCTCAGGACTGTATTTTTTGGGACAGTGTCTTTTACTGGGATCTGGGGCTTGCTGATTCAGCTAAGCTGGCTGTCAAAGGATCCCTGGGAACCCATCTTCCTCTGCCTTACCAGCACTGGGGTTACAAACATGGGCCACAATACCCAGCTTTTTATGTGGGCACTGAGGATGGAACTCAGTCCCTATGCTTGTGTTGCAAGCACTTTGCCAACTGAGCTATCTCCCCAGCCCATACCAGTTCTTTGTAGCCTTTGACTAGCCATGTGTCATGTTTTTATGGGATGGTATCATGTCTGGCTTATTTTATGAAGCATTCATGTGTGGGTGATTGGATGATGGTGATAATAAATACAGACATTGAAAGGGACTAGCCAACATTCTCCAAAGCCTATTTTAATGGCTAGCATCAGTGTTACACTTCTGAAAATACTGACTGGTCTTGTTCAAGCAGTGCATTAACTAATATGACACATTGGCAGGGACCCAGAACTTCCCTGGACCTTCAACCTGGACAATACTAGCTCTGATGCTGTGCTCTAGTTTGGGATATCTTAGTTCATTAATCTACCATTTTCAAAGGATATGAAAATTATTTATTATAGCAAATGAGAGGAAAGAAAGCCTATCTTCCAAGAAACATAATAACATAATAGCAAAGTTACA